TATTTAGGGGAGAGGTGGCATGAAAGGGACATTTTTGTTTCGAGGATCCTAGTAATTAAATTAAACAAAATTAGGAAGCTCAGTTATGTCAGTATCGAAATAGGACAAAACAACAAACCATTCTTTATCCTTAGTTGTATATTTTTTAAACTTATGTATTTTGTCACTTTCATTAATAGAGTGTATTGAAAAGGACACGATGGTTTATGAAAGGGACAATACCCAATAACAAGGAAAATCAGCTTGTACTTTGCGATACACGTACTGATTATTAATCAATAGGTACGTGCACGTGTGCTGCAAGACTACATTTCTCAAAAAAATTAGAAATTAATAATTTACTTTTTGATTGTTAATTTTGATGTTGCTCGATTCCTTTACTGCTGAATTGTCTTTGATAATTCGCCTTACTTGCGTTAAACTTTATTTATTGTCTCGGAGTGTGTCTTTCTTTAATATATCTATCACATTTTCTAAAAGTAATTATCTTTTTCTGGGAATTCAGTTATAATTGGCGTTTTGACTTTGCGTTTCTTTTCTCCTATTTTTCGAGCTGTAGCTTTAGGGTACGGCCTAATCTGCTCTGGAGTTAGCGTAGGGTGTGGTGGATTTAAAACGCAAAATGCGTCACTTCACTATTGGAAGATCCAGACCGTGGTTCATTTGATGTAGAAGGTTCAATCTGTTGCTTACTAGGATTAATAGATTCAGTATATACTTCTACAGCATTGGAAGGTCTGGGTTGCGTTTCTTCGACATTTGTAATAAATTCATTTTGAGTGAAATTATCTATAAGATACTTATTATTTGCACTTACTTTATTAAAAATTTCGTTAGGACCAGCGATGTTTTGAGGTGACTGTGAGCGATTTGTGGTGAAAGAGACATCATTAACTTAAGAAAATATTGCCAACCACGAAAGGGTCAGCTATGAAGGGGACGTCCCTTTCATAACCGTTTGTTGTGTCCCTTTAATGACTATTACACAAAATTTAAAAATCTAACCTCTACTGTTACCATTTCATCTAAAACGTATCTTACCTATTGTTTATTTCAAATTGAATAAATAACTTATTACGGACAATTGCAGGCAGTTCAATTAACTATTTGGTACACACTACAGAAAGTTTGGAAATTATTAAAAAAAATTTACTTTTGAGCATGAAAAAATTCACAAGCACGCAATACTCGCGTCAGTGAAGAGACAGGACCGTGAATTTTGGTGCAAATTAGTGTGAATCGATGTTATCACACAACAAAAGTATTTCTATCCCGAGAAAATTTGTTGTTTGCCCGTAACTTGAGCTGACCTTTTCAATACGTGTCCCTTTCATGCCACCTCTCCCCTATATATGTAAAACCATCGCTATGTTTTTATAAAACACATTGATTTCCCAGCTTGTATAACGTAATTGAATTTTTATACATCTTGGAGATATAATATTAACAGTAAAATTACAAAGATCCTTGAATAGTAAGTAGTCTTTAAATTGGGTGACCCAATACCATCACCAATCAAGACTAAGTATTAAAACTGAGAATTATTTTTGCTCACCGTCAATAACTCTATTGAGGTATTCCATTTCAATAAGAGCCTCGTAAGTTATTACTCCATTATGTCTTTCCAAAACCGATGTCACCTCTTTGCGCAGTTTCTCTTGTATTTCAGGATTACAGCCAAGTTCGTACACGGCATCTGTTAATGTGGACGAGGTTGAATCGAAACCAGCGCTAAAGAGCACCGTTGATTGCACCGCAATATTAGTTCTTTTAACTCTCTCGTCTTTTTCGCTTTTCTCCAATTCCATTATCGATTGTAAGAAATCGTTATATTTTATATTATTTTTGATTCTATAATCAACGACTTCATCCACAATTTTCATAAAAAAATGTGAAACATCTCTGGGAAATACAACCAGTCCTAAAGACCGTGCCAAATTAGGAAAACCTCTGCTGAATGTTGCTTTTAGAAGTCGAAACAGTGAGAAATGGAATAACCGTTTTCCAAATTTTCTAAAATTGCAGTTAGGATATTCGAGGCTGTTGCATTCTACTCCAAGTGAGCAACTTCCAATAATATCTGTTATCATGCATCCCGCCAGATTTTTTATCTCAACGGGCTCCATTCTTTTTACATAATCGTCTATTTTCTTCACGAATCTGTCGTTATGAATTTGCAACAAAGGAAACATTGTTTTTAATTTATTTATTGTGAAAAGTGGTGTCAATTTAGTCCTCATATCTTTCCATTCTTGACCACTCGTGGTCAGTATAGTGAAACTAAAGGGATCACTTTTTTTGTTGTAGTACGCAAGGCGCTCGGAGAAATAGTTGAAATCTTTGATAAGGATGTTCTTGACAATGACAGGATCTATTGCTACATAAAGTGGAGAACAATATACGTATATTCCGCCTTGTTTTTGTTTGTTTTTCTTAAAATATTTGTATACGTCTGCCATTGCAGTATGTGCGGATGAGGTTTTATTAAACGGGCTTCCCAGACTTCCATAAGGAAACTGAGGGCGTTTTACGGCAATGTCGAAATCGTCCCAATACGTATACCTTTGCTTAAAAATTATGTATATTAACAAAATGCCCATTCCCAATGTCGCTAGTATGGTCATTAGCACTGATAGTAATATAGATTCCATGTTTTTAATTTTTAATAACGCACCTGCTTATACCGAAACCAAAACACTTATGTATACATACTTACTTATAAAATCTATAATAAGGATATATTAATGTGTACTAATTGAATATTATCATATAATTTAATCAACAAGTATTGTTAAAAAATGATGTTTTCAGAAATTATCTAGAATACATGAAAATGTTCTAAATGAAACTATTTGTAAGTTACCCGTATATCAATGGTAATTATGCAACATTAACATATCTAGAAACAGTAAAAAAACAAAGGCAAGATAAGGAACAAAAATAAAAGACAACATTTTTCAATATTCCTTGTTGTCCACATGGTAATTATTAGATATCATTATACCAACAAAATCAGTACGTGAATATTAATGTAGATCGAATACTTTGGGTTCTGGTTGACACTTGCTGTGGAAGTACGTTTTATATTTGTGATTTCTAATATCAACGAACAATTTGTAATTTCATTAAATAGTCTATTCCAATATTCCATTATAATTATATAATATAGGTAAAATAACAAATATTTTAAATAATTTAAAATTATTAAGCTAAAAATATTCGTAAAATGGCAATTAGGACAATGTAAAAATGTTAAAATCATTGTTAAAACTTAATCTTGTCCTCACAGCCTTTTTATGCTTACTATTATTATATAATTACCTTGTCACTTTGTGAACTTATGTCACAACATTTTAGCTTTATAGAAATTCACTGCGAAACCTACCCTGAAAAATCCTTATAACTGAGAGCGAAACGTTGGTTGTGGCTTGACATTCATAAATAGACCTTATACCCTACATTCGTTGGATTTTTGTGTTCAAGTAATTTTTAGGGGAATATATGACATTTAATATGAAATCGCATTAGTTACATACTTAGAGATGATACTATATGAAACTCTTTGAAATTCACTAGTGATTAAATATAAAGTGAAAGTTTAATTGTTATCCACTGTAAATTACCTCAAGTTAATGAGGAAAAATTGTTGCTGTTGTCACACCTCCGCCGGGAATCGAACCCGGGACTTTTGGCTTTAAGCACCAATGTTGTCACCTCTCGTAGCGATGTGGTAAAAGCATTAGTGCATGAAGTTAAAGGTGTGACCACAGCAACAATTTTTCCTCATTAACTTGAGGTTCTTCATAGTGGATAAAAATTAAAGATGAATTTTCACATTAATGTAGTTATAATTGGTATAAAAGACATTGATTAATGAAAACACAGTTCTTATTGTACTCTCTTTTATTTATTTATATTATTGTTTACAGTATATTTATCCCCTCAACTATTTATACCACTAAACTACATCTATTTTTAATGTATTTTTCTTTTGTAAATGTTGAAGCTACGGAATCTTTTAGTACTAATTTTATTTTATTAAAATGTAAATTTACACATCCTGTTCATAACTGAAAGTTCTTGAATAGATTTCTTGTGTAAAAGGCAACCCAGTTTGTAAATTGTATCAGTATAATTTTATATCTATATTCACTACTAATTAATGATTGTTAGGAGTACAGCTGCACCTAAATTTTCTCGAAGTCAATGTATACATTACTGGAAAATCTGTATATAAACGATTTCGGATCGATTTGAAGTATTCCAGTTTTCGAATTAATAGAAAACTTAAAATTTTTCAAAATATTTGCTAATGCAAGCTTCACTTGTAATAATCCAAATTTGAGATCTAAAAAAAAAATTCGTGTTGAATTAATAAGAGGTGCTGCACGAGAAAAAAGATTGCGTGCAGTACATGGAATTTCTCGATAATATTATGACTATAGTTCAACATCTTATGAGCCTTCGTATGCGCAAGTGACGGACCTTATTGCATTCACTCTACAAGACGAAATGTGCCTCAATATATAACCAGGAATGCAGCTTCAAATGAACTGCTAACAGTGAACTATAGTGACAGATAATAGTTTTAACTGGTAGAAATATAGAAATCTATGAACGATCGGAGTTTTTTGTCATAGCGCAATTAATAGCCGAGATTCATGAGATTTCGAACTAAGTCTACTATGTGTACACTGACCTATGCAATTGCGGGGTCCTTCGATAAACGGCAAATACGTGCAAGGAGGTCGTTTACTTTTATTTATTTCAGTAAAACGTTCAGGATCGAACACTTCCGGGTTTGGATAATATTCCGGATCCATATGTATTCCCAAAATTGATATACATGCTATTACCCCTTTTTCTATTGTTATATTGGTACCTTCTACGTGATAATCTTGTGCACATTTTCTGAACAGAATAGAGACGGCAGGATACTTTCTTAATGTTTCTGGGAAGAAAAACATTTACATGCTTAACAAAGGCCCCAAAACCTGAGTTGGTTTAGATAGTTCTTAGTCTTAATAGATTTTAAGTGAAACTTCTTTATCGACGATAAGAAGGAAATTTGCTAGGGTATAAAACCGAAAAGTGTCACGTTACGCGTCACAGCGTCACGTACCACAAGTGACCCCTGGTGGATATATCCAAAAAGAGTCATTCTAACAGGCGTCAGAAGCTAACCTGTTAGTAGCAACCGATAATCCGAAAATTGCCATTTCGACAAATTGCCAGCAAATCGCGACTACGCTGTACTGTATATATGTTAGGCCCGAAGACCGAAAACGCTCAGTGCCCGGAAAAAATGGCCACATCGCGTTCTGGCTGCCTTCGAACGCTCAGAACGCGTTTTGGCTGTTTTTAAACGCTCGCAACGCGTTCTGGTAACTGTTAAACAGCCGGAACGCGTTTTGATTGATGAACGCTCACAACGCGTTCTTAATGTTCGACTTGTATTATTTGCCGCTTTCTACCTGCGTACAATGAGATTTATATTGTACTTATAAAACGAATTTCAATCCATTTTTTAGTTTTTAGGAAACAATTCAATCATTGACAACTATAATTGGACCAAAGATGGTTTCGGTTTTTCTCGCCGAATCGTTTCAACAATATTAAATTTCTTATAATTGTTTTTCAGTTCTAGGAAGAAAGTTACATTGAACACCTAGTAGTTTGAGTATATTATAACTAACTTGACTTCATGAAAAATCAGTACAGATCTCGTCAGTGTAGCGAGAAGATCAGTCTGTCATTGACTAAACAACTAACTAAAGTCGTTTGAAAAGTTACACTTTCATTAAAATGTCTGATAAATCAGCGAAAGAAATTTTTTATGATAAACTAAAACCAATTATTGATAGTTGTGACGATAGATCTATGTTGCTGTCTGAGGAAAGGTACGAATTGCTTGTACGAGAAGTTGAGCATGCTCAAAATGCGCGCAAAAATTAGGAGTCTCAACAATATAAGCGTTTTTTTCCGGCCACTGAGCGTTTTCGGTCTTCGGGCCTAACATATATATTGCATATGTGTTTATGTTTGTGTTGATTTGTAATTCCTCTCTGCAGTTTTGTATGATGCAAGCGTAAAAGTTTTTTACGAAACTAAACTAATTTCTCGATGGTTTTCACATTTAGTTTAAAGTAAACTCATACTGAGTAAAGTAATAAGTTTATTGTTATATAACTATTCAAACGATTTCTATGTATATGCAGAACTGTTGTTATGGTTATTTAGAAATGTTATTGTTTTCCTAGTTTTTCTGAGGAAATTAAATTTTTATACATACTGCAAAGATAATATTAGCAATAAATTTATAGAGAACATTAAGTAGTAACCATTAAATCGGATGGCTTTCATAATGACCAATACCACCAATCATGAACGTGTTGTTATATTTGCTCATAACTACGAAGTATTGAAACTTAATTATTGTTGCTCACCGTCGACAACCCTATCAAGGTATCCCATTTCCATAAGAGCCTCGTAAGTTATTATTCCATTATATTTTTCCAAAACCGAAGTCACTTCTTTGCGAAGTTCCTCCTGTATTTCGGGATTACAACTGAGTTCGTATATTGCAAGTGTTATGGTGGACGAGGTTGATTCGAAACCAGAGTAGAAGAGCATCGCTGCTTGGGTCGCAATGTTAGTTTTTTTAACTTTATCATTGGCTTCGTTTTTCTCTAATTCCATTAATAATTGTAAAAAGTCGTTATGTTTTACATTGTTTTTAATTCTGTGATCAACGACTTCGTCCACAACTTTTATAAGAAAATCGGAAGCATCTTTGGGAAATACAACCAGTCCTAGAGCCTTTGCCAAATTAGGACAACTTCTGCTGAATGCTCCTTTTAGAAAGCGAAACGGTGTGACATTGAAAAACCGTTTTCCAAATTTTCTAAAATTGCAGTTAGGATATTCGAGGCTGTTGCATTCTACTCCAAGTGAACAACTTCCAATAATATCTGTTGTCAGGCACCCCGCCAAATCTTTTATCTCAACGGGTTCCATTCTTCTTACATATTCGTCAATTTTCTTTACGAATCTGTCGTTATGCGTTTGGAACAAGGGAAACATTAGTTTCAATTTATTTCTAGTAAAAATTGGTGTCAATTTAGTTCTCATATCCTTCCATTCTTGGCCATTGGTCATCAATAAATTATAACTTAAGGGATCATGCTTCTTGTTACAGTAGGCAAGGCGGTCGGAAAAGTATGTGAAGTCTTTGATAAGGATGTTCTTGACGATGACGGGATCTACTACCAGGTATAGTGGAGAAAAATATATGTATATTCCGCCATGTTTTTGATTATTTTCCTTAAAATATTTGTAAGCGTCTGCTATTGCAACATGTACAGGTGAGGTTTTATTAAACGGACTTCCTAGACTTCCGTAAGGAAACTGAGGGCGTTTTACGGCAATGTCGAAATTGTCCCAATACGTATACTTCTGTTTGAAAATTAAAAATATTAACAAAATGCCCATTTCCAGTGGCGCTAGTATAGTCATTAACACTGATAGTAATATAGATTCCATGTTTTTAATTTTTAATAACGCACCTGCTTATACCGAAGCCAAACCACGTATGTATACTTATAAAATTTATGATACGGATATTTTCAGTTATTGAGTTTTATCACAAGTTAACAACAACTATTGTTAAAACTTGATGTGTTTCAGAAATTATCTAGAATACATGAAAATGTAGTCGTTATTACAGTATTCGAGCTGAAAACTGCTTATAGCTTATCCATACGAATTGTGATTATCTAACAGTAACATATCTAGAAACATATAAGAAAGAAAAGTAAAACATTTTGCAATGTTCATTTTCGATTTCGTTATATTATTAGATATCATTATTTACAACACCAATAGATAAATATTAACGTATTGAGTCCTTCACGAATTGAAAATAGTTGTGACTAATTGAATTAAAAGTTGCAATCCCATTCCTAAAACGGAAATATTTTAATACCAAGCAAAAAATATTTAAAAATAAAAATATCAATCTCTACAGTCTCGTGGACCATCACTTTTCACATTTGTTGCACTCATAGAATTTCTGGAAATCGAATCCTTCGGGATCTGGATAGCACTGAACTTATTGTTGATTATACCTAACATATGGCTCAAATTAAGCTGGAATTGCAATATCGACTTCCATAGAGTCCTCTGTTCTCCTATTCTTTCTAATACCTCTGTATTTCTAACCTTCTCTGTCCATGGTATTTTCATCATTCGCCTGTAACACCACATTTTTGAACGCATCTAACCTTTTCTTTTCCGCCTCGTCCACCGTCCATCTTTCGCACCCGTACAGTGTCGCGCTCCAAGCATATACCTTTAATAATCTTTTTCGAATTTCTAAATTTTTATTGAAAGCGACTTGACCGCTTCGCTATCCTCTGCTTTATATACCTACTACTCCTTCCGTCCTGAGTTATCTGGCTTCCTTATACCTAAAATTTAGCATTTAATATGACTTGTAAGATCCTTTCGGAGAAGCAGTTGAAATCTTTATTAAATGTGTCTTGATAATGAGTAGATCTATCGATAAATAGAGTAGAGTGAAATATATATTTCCACCATGTTTTTGATTAATTTCCTTTTTTTTCTAAATTTTCCATAACGAAACTGAGAAGGTTTAACAAGAATGTCGAACTTGCTCCAGTTCATGTGTCTTTTTTTTATAGTAAAAGATAATAACAAAAAGCGCATTCCAATTAACACAAATACTATTAAATATTCCCTATTTCTTATTTATGAAAATCCAATTACTGCTGGTACATATCCAGTATATATTAACTTACTAAATGTACCTACTATTTCAAATAAAATTTGAATGACGCGAATATAAATATATCTACATATATACATATTCAATACGAAAGATCTGTTTTTTAACAACAACCGGTTAGAAATTGTTTTTCAAAAATTATCTGCTTGTAACATTTTTATAAATGGTAATTATGCACATAAACAGCGAAACATAACAGCATAAATGGAAGAAAGCAAATGTTTACTTTTAATTGTATCATTATCAAATAAAATTTGAATGACGCGAATATAAATATATCTACATATATACATATTCAATACGAAAGATCTGTAGTTATTAACATTCTTGGTGATATTTTTTTTAACAACAACCGGTTAGAAATTGTTTTTCAAAAATTATCTGCTTGTAACATTTTTATAAATGGTAATTATGCACATAAACAGCGAAACATAACAGCATAAATGGAAGAAAGCAAATGTTTACTTTTAATTGTATCATTATCTTTTACAATATCAGTGTTGGCTGTTGTAATGGAATAATTTCTTTTACGGAAGAATTTATGTTTGAATTACCAATATCAATAGATACGTATTCTCTTTCATATGACCTGATATTAAGACGGGATTAATTGTATATTGTCGTTGATAAACAAATGTGAATTTCATTCGTCGTTGGTCAGACTTCTTCGTACAGACTATGTCAGAAATACGGTATGTCTTTTCTTTTCTCCAAATTGCCAAAATACATTAGTATTTACTGTAGAGGATATCACATGCTGGACCACCTTAGATATTAACTTAACCCGCTACAACATAAAATTTAAAATGGCAAGCATTCAACTTGAGATGAGCAAACACACATTGTATAATGACAAAATATGCACTGCTTTGTTGAAATTGAGACCTTTCGCGATTTTTCTCTCGATAAATATGGTTAATAAACTACTTGCTCAAGAAAATTTCGCTTCGTAGCCGAAACCATACAAAGAAAGAGCTAGACTAGGTTCGTGATTTACAGAAAAAAAATAATGGTTCAGAGTATTGCAGATTGTATATTTATCTATATTATAATTATCACTTTGTGTGATTCTTATCGTTGAACAATCATTTAATGTCATTCATTATTCACATATTGCAAGAATCGTTTTCATTCGTTNTTAGTGTGACTTCTGTTTTTGCAGATTAGATGACAAATAACTTATGTTAGGGTTGTAAGATGTTAATTTTAGCAGAATGCATGCTGAACTAGAGTCATCTACCAAACGGTTTGTAACTGCGAGTTTTTGATGTTATTAATCTCTGAAAATGATAACTCGCACGTATAGGTTGATGAAAACATTTATTAAAATATCATACGCCAGCTTTTTCAAAAAATTAAATGTGTTTGTTATTGCATTCCATGTTTCCAAAATTTTATTATTAGCATTTTCACCTGTATTGCCCTGGCAGTCTTTCTGTTTCAATTATTTCTAACTCTTTCCTTGTTCCAACAACTTTTTGAATCATATTGAACTAGACTCAAATGTCACATCAGGGTACATAATAAACTTTCGTACCTATTAGTATTTCCGATAATTCTCTGAAGTGAGAAAATCTTGCTGAAAATTCCTTGATTAAAGAATCAATCACAGAAACATTGTGACGTGCCCAAAATATTGTGTCGCGTGCCACCAATGGCACGAGTGCCATTGGTTCGCCATCCCTGACCTATGCCATTCTTAATCGCGATTATTTGCTTGTAATGGGAGGTCGGTGTTTTGTAACGTAATATTTGAGGGGTATGCAGAAAACGAGGCGCATCGTGACGAATGGATGAGGAGAAACGACGTAGTTTATAAACGGCACCGAAAGAAAAGAATGTTGATCGGTTACTTCACATGTAATCTCCCAATAATATAATGATTAGGTATAGTCCAAAATCTCATGTCGTCGCCTGTGCAAGAGACTGACCTTATTGCATTCACAATGTATACCGCCAGGAATGTAACAAAGGTCAAGATTCATAAGATTCTGAACCAATTCTACTATGTATCTATACAATAACCTATGCAATTGCGGGGTCCATCCAGAAATGGCAAATACGTGCAAGGAGGTCGTTTACTTTTATTTATTTCAGTAAATCGTTCCGGATCGAATACCTCCGGGTTTGGATAATATTCTGGATCCCTGTGTATACCCAAAATTGATATGCATACCTTTACCCCCTTTTGGATAACCAAATTGGTGCCTTCTACGCGATAATCTTGTATACATTTTCTGATCGATATGGGGAGGGACGGATACTTTCTTAATGTCTCTGGAATAATAAACGTTACATGTATAAAAGAAGAATCAAAGAATTCGGACCTGGTTTAATATCGGTTCTTTGTTTCAATTTCTTTTTTAATATTTTAATATTCAAAATAAAATGTCAATCCCTATACCAACGGTCGACAAGTAATTTTAAATGGAGTCCGGATGTTTTTGAAAATTTTTATCGAGCTCCAGTACAAACACATTCCTTCCTCCAAAATAGCTCAAACTTACTTTGTTACCTTCAGAAAAATATAATANTTTAATCATAGTATATATTAGTTCGACGGATTTGTGACCTAATAAGTACGGTTTGTCGTTGTTGCTGTTGTCATCTCTCGTAGCTTAGTGGTCAAAGCATTGGCGCGTAAAGCCAAAGAGCCCGGGTTCGATTCCCGGCGGGGGTGTGACAACAGCAACAAATTTTTCCTCATTAATTTGAGGAAGTGTGTAGTGGGCAAAAAAAAAAGAATTCAAGAAATGAATTTTCAGAATAATATTTCATATTAAACTAACTCACTTCTAAAAGATGTCTAAAAAAATTGTATGTATGTTTAAGCATAGTATATATTAGTTCGACGGATTTGTGACCTAATAAGTACGGTTTGTCGTTGTTGCTGTTGTCATCTCTCGTAGCTTAGTGGTCAAAGCATTGGCGCGTAAAGCCAAAGAGCCCGGGTTCGATTCCCGGCGGGGTGTGACAACAGCAACAAAAAATTTTTCTTCCTCATTAATTTGAGGAAGTGTGTAGTGGGTAAATATTCACAAATGAATTTTCAGAATAATATTTCATATTAAAGAATTAAAATTTAATTATTTTTTCTCACCGTCCGTTACTCTGTCAAGGTATTCCATTTCCGTAAGAGCCTCGTAAGACAATAGTCCATTATGTTTCTCCAAAACCGTTGTCACCTCTTTGCGCAGCTTCTCTTGTATTTCAAGATTACAACCAAGTTCATAAATAGCATGTGTTAAAGCGGACGAGGTTGTTTCGAAGCCAGCGTTGAAGAGCAGCAGTGCCTGAGTCGCAATGTTAGTTTTTTTTACTTTCTCGTTGGTCTCGTTTTTCTCCAATTCCATTAATGATTGAAAGAAATCGTTATATTTTGCATTGTTCTTAGTTCTATAATCAAAAACTTCGTCCACAATGTTCATAAAAAAATCTGAAACATCTTTCGGAAATACACCCAGTCCTAGGTACCTTGCCAATTTAGGGAAACCTCTGGTGAATGTTGCTTTTAGAAGTCGAAACGGTGTGAAATGGAAAAGGCGTTTTCCGAATTTTCTAAAATCGGTGTTTGGATGTTCCATACTGTTACATTCTACTCCAAGTGAGCAACGGCCAATAATATCTGTTGTCAGGCATCCCATCAACTCCTTTATCTCAACAGGCTCCATTCTTCTTACATAATCGTCTATTTTTTTTACGAATCTTTCGTTATGTATTTGCAACAAGGGACACATTAGTTTTAATTTGCTTATAGTAAAAAGTGGTGTCAATTTATATCTCATATCTTTCCATTCTTGACCTACCGCCGTCAATAAATTGAAGCTTAAAGGATCGTGCTTTTTGTTATAATAAGCAACCCTGTCGGAGAAATAGTTGAAGTCTTTAATAAGGATGTTCTTGATGATGACTGGATTTACTGGTAAATAGAGTGGAGTAAAATAAACGTATATTCCGCCATGCTTTTGATTGCTTCTCTTAAAACTTCTATATGCATCTGCTACTGTAACTAGTCCAGATACAGTCTTATTGAATGGATTTCCCAGACTTCCATAAGGAAACTGAGGGCGTTTTACAGCAATGTCGAAGTTGTCCCAGTACGTGTATCTTTGTTTAAAAATTATATATACTAACAAAATGCTGATTCCCAATGGCACAATTATACTCATTAACACAGATAATAATAGAGATTCCATATTTTCAATTTTTTAAGAATGCACCTGCTTACTCCGACATCAACAAACGTAATAATAGGAATGTTTCATTATTGAATATTATCTTATTATTTAAATAACGGCTATTGTTGCAACTTAATGTTTTTTGTAAATTATCTCGAATACACGAAAATGTATTCGTTTTTACAGTGCTCGAATTGATTACTGCCTGTAACTTATCTATACGAAG